AGCACATCCACGACCGTAGTCAGGGTAAATCTGACACCTTTCACGGTTTCATGATTGCTACCCGACAACCGCTTCGGCAGACACACCCTGTTGTGTATGTCGACGCACGGAGCAGGGATTGAGCGGACTGAGCGCTTGCAATGTGATGCCTAGTTGGTGAAATGGGATGTGTTACAATGTATTGTTATTGTATCCTTCCCTCTTGACGCAGGCACACATTCATAGACTGCCCCGTCCGTTCTTTACGCTCCCTGCCCAATTTCTTTTCTTCTTGTTTGCAACACGTGTGTACCCCTGGTTTCTCAGTGTCATGTCTTTGTTGCGTGCGCATGTCTGCCCCTGCTTTTTCCTCAGTGCGTCTACCCTGTTTTGTCCTGAGTGCATCTAAACACGTATTGTCCGTGCAGAGCAATTTGTCCAATCACGTTTTGTGCGATAACTTTTTTTGCAAAAATAATTGAAACGTGAAACAACAGTCGTGACCGCCTCGTCGAGATACGTCGATAGCCGCAGAGTTTTTTTGATTATGCCGATATGCAACATTTTTTGACCAAAATGATCCACGGTGCCCCATCAATACTACGTACCCTCCCATTATCATCCACGGAGCCCCCTCACCCCCCCACAGATTCCCCCCTGCCCCTGTACAGAGACTGCTTTGTACACTACGGACACTACATGTTTCCATTTGTTCAGATTCCACGAAGAATGCCTTGAACACCCGGTAAATAACGCAATATATAGTAACGAGTACTGGAATTGTGTTGAACACCCGGTAAACAAACCCAGACAACGGAAGAGGACATATATAACTATATATTTACGTGTGGTAACTTACATACGTACATATATATGTAATATATGTAGATAAGAGCCCCCGATGGGGACGGTACCATGGTCTAGTCAACAAGGAGAGCGCACCGTATAACTACCCCAAATGTCTTCAACACCGATAAACCAATTCTGTCAAAACCAAAGTCGATCTGCAGTAGCTACCTGCCTACCACCCAGGACATATCATGCAAAAGGCTGTGTTTCAGCATCGGAAATGTCGATCCGATGTAAATGTGCATCCAAAGTATCGACAGAAAGTCCCCTATGGGGACGGTAACATAGACTAGACTAGTGAACACGGAGAGTGCATCGTACAACCACCCCAGATGTCAACACCGGTAAACCACTTCTGCCAAAAGCAAAACTGAACAACACACCACACATCACGACACATCGTTCTCCGCCTCCTTCTCCTCTTCCGCATTTGCCATCGCACGCATCTTCCTCTTTCACTTCTTGAACGCCCTTTTCGCCCTCTGGACGGAGAAGAGTCGGTTTTCCTGCGAAGCTGCCATTACCTTGGCCACCGCTGCCTCCTGTTGCTGTTTGGACTTCCCCACCCCCCTGCCTCCACTCCCTCCCCCCCCCCCC